GCACATATGAGCCTCCAGAAACATCAATTATTTCATGATTTTTAGGTATTTTCATCAAAGTTCTCACATTTTTGGGGACATCTAATCCTTCACTTTGTAATATTTGAAGTAAACTATTACAAAAATTGTGTGAAACTTTATATTTTACTATTAATAACCGTAATTTATCACTTAAACTGACATTTTTAGATGCATTATTTTCTACTAACAATGGTATGTCATTAGTTGTTTGGAATTTACTAGAAGTATCAATACAAGGGATACAATTATTTGAATCATGTAGTTCATTCAACATATTAGAACATTCAACTGCAGGAATCATAATATCACTATCTGATATTGATAATTGTGGTATAACACTTTTAACACTACTCATTGCATCATAATTACTACTCACAATTGGTACAATATTCATTCTGCTCAAATTTGCTCTTGGTGCTGAAATAACAAACTTGTCTTGTTCTGCTTTTAATAATTGTTGAAAATATTTTAATGATAAGGCTGATATATCTTTCCTTTTCTTTATTTTACAATCATAAAATCAAACAAACAAATACAATTTCATAAGATAAATAAGTGGTTTTTTTATTGAAAATCTATGCACATGTATTAGTATAAATATTTATAATATAATAAATTTAATACATTAGTTACCTAATGTATAATTTTAAATGATTTTGGGTTAATACATTTATTTAAAATTTTATAATACTATACTAAAGGCCATATTTTTTCATAAATATCTGCATAAATAAATATAAGTGAATCATTTGATACATTTGATTCTACTCAATCTAGTATTTCCATGCCTTAACCAATTAGCAACCACACTTTCGTACTCAGAATCTGTAATTACATGTTTCGAATTTTGTTTAGTTATTTTTATTAAAATAAAGTTTGCACATATTATATAAAAATTGTAATTTGCATGAGCATGATATAAATTGTACATATAAATGGATATGATGGAAAATTATTTACTTTTAACCAGCTTAATTATTTCTGAAGAGCCTAAAGCCACCAATATATTTTTTCCACGACCAGTAAAAGTAGCAATTACAGCAAATTCATCATTGAATAATTTTTGTAAGACTCTCGTTATGTTGTTTTTAGTGCCACAACCACCAATACTTCCAATAAATGATTCCTATAAGATTTGAAAAAATATTACGAGATACAAAATAAGAATTTGAGACTTAAAAAAATATATATGCGCTAAGTACCAGCATAGAAATAAAATCAGGCTCATTGATAATTTTATTTTCAATTGATAAAAATTCTTCTTTGTTTCTGATTGGAAATAGCGATATAAAACTTGAATCAATGTAGTTATTGTTGGTTGTTGTAGAGTTCCAATTATTTTTAGAATTAAGTTCTAAGACTTCAACTTTTGATAATAAGCGCTTCAACAAAAATTTATTAGATATTAGCTCTTTTTGAATTTGAATTAATGTGTCACTGACCATCTGATTTGTACTTATATTATTATCTGCACAAAAATAACACATTTCAGCAAATTAATATTTAAAAATATGAAGTGATGTTATAAATGAGTCAAAGTAAACAATTCAAAAAAAGAAAATTATATTGATTTTTACCAATAATGCATGTCGTACTGGGAATTGTTTGAAGATGAGGGAACATAAGGTTCATATACTGGTTCAAAATAATGTGGGGTTGGTAGTGGAGAAATCAGCTGTTAACAATAAAACAAATTAGTCTATTATTTCTAAACATTTCTGCTAACTTTACAAATTAAAAAAATCAAAAAACTAAATAAGATCATTTAGCAAAATCACAAAATCTATCAGATATTTGACTAAAAAACAGGTTGGCATGTATTATAACCAAATGTGTAATTTATATTATGCATAAAAGACATTACGTATTATTCATCTATATTTTATGCATCATCATATTTAGTATAAATATTAAATATTGTAATTGTCATATTGTTATAACTGTTACATTATTATGCAAGTTGACTATGATTTTTTTTTTTTTTATATGATTTGAATGATTTTATTACTTTAATTATTTCATTTATATAGTTAAAAATTCTTAATTGGATAGGATAATTTAAATTTTAAATGTGTAAAAGTTAAAAACATGATGCAAGTATTACAAACTAAATTATTTATTTATTTAAAACATAACATGTAATAAACATGAAAATATTCTATATTCAAATTTGAATATCCTTTATTAAAACGTTTAGTTACAAAATGATTAGCAAAATTTAATAATAAATTATATTATTGTTAGAAACAATTACATTAGCAATATAATATTTTTACTAAATAATGATCCAATTTACAATAAAAATTATTTTTCACATCCTATGAAAGTATATAAATTAAAAACTATGGTTATAAATAAATTAAGTAAAAATGAAATAACAATTTATGTGATTTAGTTGTTAAAAATAAAATAAAACATTATTAAGTACCTGGTTGTATCTGTTTGGTGAATATGTATGGTCCTTATTAGAGCCAGAAGGTAATGTAGTTAATTCATTTGGATTGGCTGATAAAATAGGAATTTTTAGTTGATGATTAGCTGTAATATTTACATGCAACTCTGTGAATTTTTTTTTAGATACATCTGTTTTCGGAAGTGAGTTACTATTGATAGGCATTATAGAGAAGCTACTATATATTAATAACAAAAAAAAAAAAAAAAACATAATGATAGGTAGGTACCTATATAAAAATATTCATTAAATCAGGTTTTTATAGAGGTTTTCATTAGAGTACTCAAAAACGCAATAAATAAATATAATACAAAAATAAGATAATTCTAAAAAATCTTATACATGATAATATGTAAATCAAAATACCTTCAATGTCGCTTTCATCTGAATATGAATTTGAAAGACGTTTCTTTTTTTTGGGAGTGGCTTCTTCACTTTCAGCAGCAGAGGTCTCCAATTCTACTTGCGAATGCCATGCCTGCTTAAAATTTGCTAAAATATAAGTAATCATACATTAAAATTAGACTATAGTTATTTATATTAATACAAATTAATTACCATATATTTTATTATTAATTTTTATTTTGTACAATGACCATGTTTCGTCTGGATTATCAGCTTTTAACAATTCACTACTAGTCACCTTGAATGGTGGCCATCTGCAGTATTGAATTGATGATAAGTTATACTCTGTTAAAGTTATCTGATTTAAGTCTAAGCCCAGCCAATTAACAGGTACAATACTAAAATCTTTTGCATCAGTGAAAACAACAACTACCCATCGCTTTGAGGGTCGACCCTAGGTATAAAAAAATCAAAAAATTAATTTAATACATTGTAAGTACATACTCAATATATGTACCTGTTAAATTAAGTACTAGGTGTTGGTATTATAATATAGATTACCCACATACACTAGTTAGGGTTGGAATATTATTACACATCAGTGAATAAAATGTTATACATATGAATACAATGTACTGAAACAATATAGGGAGCTAGGTAAAATAATATTATTTTTATTTAAGTAACTTGATAAGTTTAAAATCTTTACAAATAATGAAATAAATGATTTACCTCGTGATTTAGGTATTTTGATAAATGCCTATCAATAAAATTATTTATTCTAATAAAATGGTAGATATTTAATTGCATATTAAAATTGTAATTTTAATGAAGTAACTCATATTAAAAAAAAAGTACAGGATACAGGAGTTATAAAATTATATTTCAATTGCAGAATAAGATAGGTAGTATTATAGGAAAATAAATGACATAGGTACCTACCTAAGATTATTGTCTCGGTTTTAATCATTTTTTATGCCAAAGAGTACATTTTAGGAGAATATTTTCATTAAACAGGTAAATGAAAAGTGGTTACCACATAAAATAATAATAATCTTATGAAATATAAATAAGTATAATGTATTGTTATAACTGTAAAAACTTACCTTACGACTTGTAGATATCGTAGACATTAGGTACATCAAATACCTAATACTTTTTTTTAAGTATACAGGAAAAACTATACAAAATTTAACATTTAATGAACACTAATAAACAGAATAATACTTTAAAGTTTAATAAAACACCAAAAAAAAAAAAAAATAATAACCAGTCAAAATTGTTCGCGTGGTGTCAAGGTAAACTGTCGAGTATTCGAGTCAATGATACGCGGCGCGGCGGTCAATACCAGTGGAAAATAATTATTTGTTTATTAATAAACATTGCAGCAGTTTACGATAACAAAATCAAACAAAAAACCCAAACTTACGATTAGATATTTAATATCAAATGGCTATTTATATACAACTAGTATATTATTATGATAAAATATATATAGATAGTTATTATATTAGAACATTTATATATAAATGAATAATAATAAATAATAAATTTATATATAAATAATATATATATATATCTATAGGTATACATTATACATCCAATTAAAACAGCTCTGAAACGTCCTATCAATATTTCAACGAGATGTTAATGAAAGTTAGATTTTATAATGTTACAAGGATGTCACAAATCTATAATAAAGTAACAATTACAAAATGACATCCTCGAAATATTATATTAACATTGCAATGTGATGTTCCGTATGAAACAAAAACATACATCCCAGAGATAAGGCGATATAAGGCGATCAACGTTACCACGGCGTACAATGCGACGGACATGATGGCGACGGCGTTGGACGGTCGAGCACAACACACGGCCCGGGGCAAGTAAATCTATGGGCCGCGCGCAAAAGCCGGCGTGTATTTGTTGTTGTGAATCGTATTCAGATATAGTGTTTTGGCGATTCGTATAAGCAACACATCCGGAAACCCAATTAGGCCAATTAGCCGCCGGTTATCGCTGTACCCCACCTAACGACGACTTATCAATAAATATATGCTTATTATATATACATACGTTTTGTGCCATCGTGATGATTACGTTTATCCTGTGGCATTCTGTGATTCTGGTTAGGGCACTCCCTCCAGGGTCGCACGTAATACCCAGGCGTTTACCCTAGAAAAAATACTTCAAAGTAATTCAATCACCGC